CATACGCACATCCAGTTCATTATGCAGGAAGTTCAGAACTGCAAGTTGTTTTCCTAAATGTCAGGAAAACATGGCCCCTTCTGTCTGTCCCCTTCCAGAAGTGGCCCAATTAAACTTCTCTGAGTGGCATTAGCATTCTGAGCCCATCCCGCACTCACATGGCTCTGTTGCGGCTCGGAGCTAAACCCCAGCAGCAGGGCTCACATCTGCATTGCTAAGTGGTGCTTTAGCTGGGCGCGTCCTCAGGGAGAGGGGATCGTGAGGCTGTAGACTGTAGGCTGGACTGAGTGGAGGCTGAGGAGGCTGCAGCTGCAGAGAGGAGGGGACAGCAGCCCTCCGTCCACACTGCAGGCTCACACAGGCTCATATTAAACTGGTGAGTCACAGTGAATGTGCCAACATTCACACTTACAAAGGGGAGTGCACACACACATGCATGAACACACATTGCATAGAAAGACTCTTTCGTGCACATTCAAGCAAGCAAACACACACACATTTGTTTTCATAGAGTACAGTGCAAAAGTCAGAGACCACTCTTTTATCATTTATTTAATTTACAATAATGGTTATTAAGTACACATTATACATGTTTCAGTGTCAGACAAAAGTACAAAGTACATACATATACAGAATACTTACACAGTGGCCTCAACAACTAAATTTACTGTCACATTTTTTATTATTTAGTTTGCCCACCCTTTCTCTTTAATACAGCTTCTATTCTATTTAGGAAATCTGCAGGGTTATTTTTCCACACCTCCAAAGTTCAGTACTTAGAAGTTGGTTGAATTTTTTTTTTCTTCTCACGATTCAAGTAATCCCAAACACGTTCAGTGATGTTGAGGTCTAGGGTCTGGAGTGGTCAGTCCATTGTTCTGAGAACACCAGCTTTTTAATTTGCATTGCAATTTTCTTTTTTATTTCTATTAATCAGTAAGGTCTTCTTGACAGCTACACATCTTTTCAGATCCACAAAACTGCAGTTGGATAGAAAAACTTGCATTTTCTCAGATCTGAAGCAGCTTGATTTTCTCCTTTCTCTCAAAGACGAAAGCTTTAAGTACTGCTTATCTGATGGTGACATTTCTGGTGTTCTACTAGGTCTTGCATAAGTGTTAGGAGGTCCATTTTCTTTGTATCTTTCAATAACATTTTGATCTCTAGTTTTAGAAACTATTTCAATCATTTTCCTTTGACTGCGTCATTTTATGAACTCATATCTAATCTTGTAAGAAACATCTCCTGAAAAATGGATAACTTTTACTTAATGGCAGTTTTGACTAAAAAGTAAATAAATGAAGAGTGATCTGACTTTCACATAGTACTGTGCTATCAGCACATAGAGACTTACATTGTGTATACATTTACTGTTGAATCAAACCCTCCTTTTTTCTGGTCCTGAAAAGGTAGGTGACCCTTTTTTCTTTATATATAATCGGAACATTTTTGTCCCAAAAGGTACAAAAGCAAGCACACACACATACACACACACTTGAGGACTAGCTATTTCGTGTAATTTTCCCACAAGTGCACCTCCCACTTTGGTCTACAGCCGGAGAGAGAGGAGAAAAGAAGGGTCCGTTTGAGATTAATCTCTCACTGCCCTGTGAACTCCCTGCCCAAAGGCGTTGGACATCTTTATACCCGTCATCATCACTAAACATCCAGCCCTCCTTGGGCTATGATACATAAAAAACACTCCTTAATATAGAGCAGCATGCAGTAATCAGCAGTGAAAGGGAAGTGGTGGTTGTCCTGACAGCCAGGGAGAGCTCCCACGAGCGCAGTACCAGACAGAGGGCACATTTGGAGAGGGGAACAGTTAAACACCAGCTCAGCCGGTCTCAGAGCTTTGATTACCGCTCTGCTATTCTTACCGCCTTCACATCCTCAGCATCACCACTATTCATTTGGAACTGCAGCTACCAGGGCCAAAATGAGATGTCACTGGGTGGATTTTAATTGCTTATCTTTACTGAGTCTGCTGGGCTATCTGAGCTCCAGGTGCTGATATAAGCTCTACTGCTACATTCCATTTTACAAGGATCAGCAAGAGCAGATGAAATCAAACTGAAGCCTTTAGGACAAAACTGTCAAAGAAATAATTTAGCTAAACCTTTCCCCCTACTCTAAATGTAATCCATCAAATAAAACGTGTTTAGCAGCTAACTTGTTAGCTTTGCTAACAACAACTTTAGTGCAGTTTTATAGACAATAGTATGCCACACCAACGACATAAATGTCAGAAATTACATAAGTGAGTCTATTTAAGATAATGTCCTAACTCCATTAACACGGTTAAGATAATGCCCTAACTTGGAGGCAAATGTCTGATGATTTAAAAGGAATGCCCACAGACGTTTTTTGGAGGGGGCTAAGGGAAAAAGGGGGGAAACCTGAACCTGAATTAACTGCAGTGTTAAACAGTCACAAATACTAGCCTTACTGCTCAAACAGGGGTTGGAACCCCAATCCCCAGGCTGTAACGTCAACCACTGTGCTATCTTATAAATCCTTTTTTTATAATAAGAAAAACTTGGTTTATTTAGTTATTGGTGACTTTTACTACTGTTTGTTTGGTGGCTGTTCAAAATAATTACATTATGTCATATAACATTTTCTTAAAGAGACATTATCACTGCTTTATTGGTGGGTTTTTGGCACTGTAGCGATTAGTGCATCTGTGACAGGTCAGAAGTACTGAGGGGAAGTCTCCATAGGTGGGGGTATTATACCAGAGGGGGTTCCTGAGAGCAACTAAACTAATGGGTTTTAAACTGAGCCATGAGCTCTACTCCCGGGGCAATGCTGAGCCTCGCCTCCCTGAAACAGATCTTCAAGAGTGGCTATATAAAAGACAATTATCATACATGTTGACTGAGGAGGCACTTGTACAGTTTGAGGGCAAAAGGGCAGGGGTTCAAGCCACCCCGGCATCTATCTGTACACGTGCCTGTGATTTAGGCATGCATTATGATAACTTGTAGGGTTTAAGCTTGCATTACTTGTTGGCAACATCAGCCTCAAATCTCCAATGCCAAACTAACAAAGCACCACATTTAGGGTAAAGGTATAGGTTCTGAATGTTTTAAACAAAATTACAGGCACATATATATTTTTTTTATAATTACTTTTGATTATTTGGTAACTAGTATGAAACTAAAATGTACATTTTATAGTTAACAGAGTAAGGAAGTGAAGCAGATGTGGGCCCTTGCTTTTTATATGTTCAAGCAGTAGTCCTTAAGTAGGGATCTGTTACCAGATATTCACCTAATTGAACAAAATGACATGCTACAGTTCAGGTCATTCAGCCACAAAGCAATTCTAAAACATGAAGAGTTTCCCCAGCAGTGCCACTGTGCTACAGAAACAGTTTCATAATGTCACCATGCACTCCTTGACTGCTCTTCAGTATCAGATGTGATCTGCACGAGAGGATGAATGTATTCCACTTGGTTGGGTATCACTCTAAGGACTAGCATCTCCTCTCTGTCAGAGATAAATGTATGTGTGAACACCTCGTTTGCTCAAGCACTCCATCATCATAGTGTGGCCTTCTCTACCAACTTTGCAGCCCTTCTCTTTCAGCTAGAGAAAGGAGGAAGTTAGACAGTTTCCAAGGTCTGTTGGGAGATTGATTCATAGAGCTGCTGAGCACTTAATGCTGAAGTTGCTGCTGAAAACTGAATTACTCCTTTCAATTGCACTCGCCAGCACTAACTCCATTCTGTGCAAGACGCAGCACCGATATTCAGACATCCTGTCTAAAATAATGGCAGACAGTCATTATACTGCCATTAAGAGTTTCTACCACTTTGCTCAATATTGCTCAACACCCCAGTTCACTGGTCTTTGCTGTTAAGCCTAACTACTGCACTCACACAACTAATGTTCTGTTCCAGAGTTCATCTTGGTACATATTCTACCATGCAGAAAAATGATAAGCAGAAGAACAAAAGACACAGCTTTGGAGTAAATGACACAAGAGAGGGAAGGACAGCTTTGTGAACACAACTTTTCTGCAGCTGCAAGTGCTCTAGGCTGGACTGATGTTCCTCTCACTGTGCACGCTTATGCAGATGTAGCCACCATTTCTAAATACAGTTCAATTGAGTCCATGTGTTATGTTTACTAATTTTGTTTAATGCTTGAGAAAATTCAATTATTAACCATCATACTGACATAATGCTGCATTTGAAAATGTCACTGGACTTATACTGAAACCTTGGGGCACTCCTAGCCTAAGACTGCAGTCAAATGTTCACTTGTGTATATGTGTCACGTTTACTAACTCATTTTTATGCTTGAGAAAACAAAAAAAATCTCATACTGATATAAGACAATATAGTATAGGAATTTGAAAACTGTGTTGTCCTAATACTGACACCCTGGAGCACACCTAATTTGAAATCTGCTGTGGCCCAATGTATCTTGCACTCTGTTGTTCTTTCTCTATAATAGTCAAAGTCCATTCATACTTGCCTAAGTCTGACCATCAGCTGGTTCTCTCTCTGTGCTTTCTCCTTCACTTATCCCTCACACCCACTGATCTCAGACCTGTCTGTAGCCATCCTAATCTATTTATCCAAGACCAGCCGACCTCTCACTGCTGCCAAACACCACAGAAAACAGGCATTCATGTTTGATGCTGATTTAAAAAAAAAAACACTCCCGTGGCCAGCAAAAAGCCCCTGCTTTCGTCCCGCTTTAATAAGCAGCCCAGCATGGCTGTTTTATTCATGAAAACTCATCTATAATTTAGCTCAGAGACCTGTCTTACACCACAAGATGCCAGATAAATGCTTCTAAATAAGCCACAACTCACTCCACATCATAAAACCTCAATGCAGACTGTGTTTTTGTAGATCACACACATTGCTATGATACAAAAGCTACTGCTACTGATTCTGATGAGGTGGGTCAACCTTCACTACATACAAGAAGTACTACTATTAACAAAAGAAAGAAAACAAATAAAAAACAATAGAACTCACGTAAGGTACCGACTCCAAAGTGTCCGTGTTGACTATAATTGGTGCGGGGCTTGCCTGTAGAGAAAAAGAAAAAAGATGGAGAGAGGAAGAGAGAGAGGGAGAGAGATCAGAGTGGGTTGGCAATGTGTGAACTGTCCTATTTTCTATTAATGGCCACTGAGTGTTGCTTGTGTATAGAGCTGTGACGGTTAGCACTGGGGCTCAGCTCTATGATGCCATACTGATAAACAGTGCTCCAATTTAGCACACACAGCAAACATAACACTCCAAAATGAACAACAAACACACATACAGATATTCACAGGATTACAGATGAGATGAATGATGAGATCACATAGGATGATTGTTTTTATACCAGTAATATGAACAACAAAACCAAAAAGGCCTTTTAGTCACACAATATTTGGACTAGATGAATCTTTGTGTTCACTTTGTTTCCAAATACAAAGATGTCTCTGCTATTGCTGAGGTTAATTAGGACTGATGCTTCAGTGCACCAATACTGGTCTTAATTATACCACCACTCATCTGTAGAGCTCTCCCTCTCTCACACACACATACACAAAGCTCGATTTTCTCAACTTAGCTTAGTCAAATAGTTCTCTTTTTAAAGAAAAATGCATTTAGTGCTGCATTTAAATTAGGTCAACAATACAGTCTCTGTAGAGCTTACTAAAGAAATAAAGTACAATAAAAAGTGAACATTACACTTTATGAGCTTACATTATTGGTGGATTTACTTCCTCCCCCCAATCTAGTCAATGCCACGTCCCACCCACAGGCTATGACTCCGCCTGTCACACAGTGTCCCAAGCCTGGGGTGTGACAGCTTTCTCTCAACTTCTGACCATGGAGGGCTGTGGCATCACTTCGAAATCAAACTCACGATCTCATTGTGATTATAGGCAGTAAGACAATTACATCACTCAGAAGCCACAAAGTTGCTTAGAGCAATTTATAGAAGCAACAACAATCACTGCTGTTTCTGAGTAAACTCAACTTAAACTGCATTTCCAATTACACTTCAGTGGAGATTCAACTTCTGAGATTTTTTCAATACCACTTTAAAATAAGACTACCCTTATAAAGGGTTCATGAATGGTTAAAATGAGTTTAATAATGGTAATTAATTAGGTCTTAAAGATCTTAAAATTATTAATGAGCATTTACTACAAAAAACTGGCAACAGTGACTTGTTGTTTACCTAATAGTGAAGTCACATTCTTTTATACTGTTAAACGTCAGATTTTGATGCTTTCTTTATCAGTTAGTCTTCTCCATCAGTTAACATTAATCACATATTAATCACATAATCACATATTAATCACAGCTTCATCACATATACATATTCATGATATACACCAGCTCACCTTTGCCCATTTTATTAATGTGTTATAGCTGCTTATTAATGATTATAAGTGTAGTCTTATTTTAAAGTGGTACCACTTTTTCTGTGACTCCTTTAGCACTTCCCTCCCCCAGTTTAAGAACTGCTGATCTAAAAAGAAAGCGTACAGGTCTATGCCAACGTTGGCTGAAGTCTGTTTTATATTTTCCTTTTTGTTGTTGCTTTTTCCTTCCCTGCGGTTAACCAGGTATCCATTCATTAACACTTATGGATACTCAAATATCAAAATGAGTCAGAATGCACATCCCTAGTGTTGACCAAACTAAAGTTAAGAAAAGGCTGTCTTACAATTTCAGGTTGACCTGACTTTCAGTTTTTTTTACAGTGAAAAGCACAGCCTTCTCTGAGGGTTAATATAATGTCAGACATGAATATTTCATGAATATACGAGAATTTTCATAAGGTATAAACAAACTTTCACACTTTTCAATTTCAGCGCAGGGTGGAGGTTTTCCTTAAACAAAGCTTTAGCAACAGCTTCACCCTGTCTTTTAACTTGCATGAAAGAAGCTGAAAATGACCTCACACCAGCACAAAAGGGGCTTGAATACAGTGGAAGCAGTCCTGGTTTGCCTCTAAGAAGATTGCAAAAACCTACATACACACACATGCCTAGAGCTAGCATTCAGAAGCAGCCTGGGCCGCAAAGCTCAGGTGGGACACTGGCGGTACTGTTGAGAGAACAATCAATGACAGAGGCCAAGAGTTTTCCTGTTTACTGCAGACTGCTCCAACTGCATTAATGAATCTACAGCCTCAAGAGCTACTGCTTCAATCACAGAGAGAGAGAGAGAGAGAGAGAGAGAGAGATGCATACAGTACAGAGACAAATTAATTAAGAACTCCTGTTCTATCAACATGGTCTGAGGAGCACTCAGGCTCAGACACACACACACACACATACACAAAAAGCCTTTCGTCTAGGACTTGAGCTTTTTTTCTGATGGAAAGAAAAGTGATGCATCAGAACAGTGACTGTTAACTTACTAATAGAAGCTCAATTAACTCAAAATTTTGTAAGCTTCCAGCTTAACTGTAAGCTTAATTAAGTAAAAAGTAAGTAAAGTACTTACTTTGTAAGTAGGCTGTTAAAATAACAAATCTTTTTTTACAGTGTGACCTCCTTCAAATAGTGTTTTTTTGTTTCATGCCAAAGTTTATATCAGCTCAGAACTCAAGCAGGAATCATAGTAGGCTACTTTTGTACCACCACAGTCACATCATTTAAAAAAGGCAATTTGTTTAAGGGCTATGGACCCTACTTTGAGAACCAAAGCCATAGAAGAACCACTTTTGGCAACTGAAAAAACCTTTCCATGAATATTGCATAAATGTGACATGTGTGAAGAATGTTTAAAGATCCCCCACATGATGTAAAGGTCCAAGCCAGAGCCAATTAAGAAGGTTTATTTTTAATAAGTGTGGTTGGGAGGAAAAAACTGATGCACAAACAAAGTATGACTGATCTCCACTGGGACCAACAATATTGGCTTATCCATTTAAAAGCCTACGCTACACTTTAACACAACACCAAGACTAAGTAGGATGAGCAATCTTGTGAGGTGAAATCTAGATGCCTTCAGGAGCTTTGAAAGTGCAGTCTGGACTTCATAATAGCTTCAGAAGAGGACACACAGGCAGATTAAATGTAGAATGTGTGTTGAACAAAGCCTCCTGTGCATCCTGGAGATCAAGTCAAGCAGATCGGCATGACAGAGCACGACTGGGTGTCTCTCGAAAGCTCTCAAATGCTCTAGAAAGCTTATAAGAGACTTTCTCGAGAGCATCTCAAGAGCCCACTCATAAACTCACAATACGTTGAGGGAAGAAAACACAGATGGAAAGGTTTCTTATACCATATGGGGGAAGGAGATCATATGGACCAGTATAAGATGTGCTTAGAAACAGCTTAATGCAGCTGGCTGCTTGGTGTGCAGGGTGATACAAGTGTTCTTTAAGTAATACACAAGAAGAAACACTTCACGGCTCTGATTGTCACCATGGTTGACTTCAAAGGGAGACGAATCCTTTCCCACAGTGAAGAGTCATGTGTTGTCATCACTCTTTGTGATTACAAATTGTGGCAGGACTTGAAAACCAGCAGGAAGTCTGAACCTTTTTCTGAGATGCATAGGGACCTTGTACGCAGGGGGAAATTTTCTACACTAACAGTAAAAAGTGTAGAGTACTCAGAATATAAATGACACAGCAAATAAAATAAACTAATAATAGAAAAAAGGTAGCTGATCAAAGGCTAATACAACAATCATTTTCTCCAGGCCTGATATGGTGGTCCAAAGGCCAGTGAGACGACAGAAGACACTAACTGAGGAGAAAAAGAGAGAAAGACGTACCACCTTGAGCACACTTAGAACCTGCCATTGTTTTCAGTTCACTCAGCTGACTCGCTGAGATGGAAAGACTGCTATATTTATATAAGCAGCACTACTCGTTTCCATAGCTGACGCAAAAGACAATCTAATTTGAAGCTGGGTAAACAGATAAAGAACTATCAGAAGAAGATAATACCTATTTTTTTCTCAATACATTTTCCCCCACAGACCTCAAGTATCATTCTAACTGGCATAATCAATGCCACTAAACACTCACTTACAGATACTATGCTTCAAAAAACAGAGCATTCTGCTCATGTTGCAGTATTTTGTGTCACAAACACAGAGTTTATCTATAATTCAGGGTAAAGAGAAGGAAGAGATGGTCACAGGAAGAGTTTAGGCCCTCTCACTTGGAGGTCAAGTCCATAGAGTTCTGACTGCTCAAAAGAAAAAAGGCCTCTGATACCAATGAAAATGTTTTTGTCATACAGGATGAACCCAAAGGCTATGAGCACTTATACTTTTCTGCCTTTATTTCCACCTTAAACAAACAAAAGTGACTGCCAAACCACTCCAACTTTTGCTGGATGCTATCTCCATGGCAATGTTTGGACAGCTCTTTGCTGTCATTACCCTGCTTGACCATTTTTGCAGACTGGAGGAAGTTAACTGAGCTTTGATAGTTCTTAACTCAGGCTACTGACCAACCTATAGTAAGCTAGGTAAGCTAGCTGGCAGTAGTAAATCCTGTGGTGTGTTTAAAATTTCATTCATGAAGCAGGCTAGTTGTCATGCTGGTGGTTGTCAACTTCAATATAGCAATGTCTGGCTTCCTGGCTTGCTTGTTCCTAACATGGGCTTATGATTGACCTTTATCAAGTTAAGCTACTTGGCAGTGGGAAAAAAGCACAGTTACATAGAGTGTAAAAAGCGACAAGAAAACTGCAGTATCAACCATTCACACCAGACACTGCATTAAATACAAGGTCAGCAATCCTATGTTGTGTTTAAAATTTCATTTTTTTCTCTCTGGTTGCCATGATGAAGTGTGATAGTTTGCTGGCTGGTAGTTGTCAGCTTCAATATAGTGATCTCTCTAGTGCCTTAGCTGGCTTCGTCAAGCTGTAACCAACCCTCTAAAAGGAAATTCTGGTTTCACAGTGTGTCTTCTTCGTTCTTTGTAGTGTTTATGTGCAGTTGGGGGGTGTTAGATGTGCTGAGAGGGAGATACAGAGTGTGTTGCATGTGCAATACAGAGTCAGAGCATGTGTGTGGCACAGAAAGGGGTGTGTGGGGGATTCTGAGAGGAG